TGTGCTCTGAACTTCTGCCACGCCACTGAAGCATCTATGGGGAGCCATTGTGCACGACTAAAACACACATGTTCAGGTGACAGTCCCGTGGCGAACAGTGTGACACAAACGGCTGGTATTTCCTCAGCGACGCATAGAGAAATTGCAAGGTCAAGACACGAGAGCCCACACACACATAAACACACAAATCCGGATCGGATGGAAAACCACTTGAGCGATAAATCAGGAAGAGACTGAAAAGAAAGAAGAGTGAAAGAAAAGCACACGCTCTACATGAGCGAGAGAAGCGAGCTTGATTCCTTCCTGGAAGAGTTTCGTCCTCCTGCTGCAGAAACTCTCTCACTTTAACACACCGACACATACACACCCCTGTGAAGCTCGCACATATCCGCTAACATGCACACTTAACCAGTTTTGGGGAGTAACGGCGTTATTTAATTACAAAATAAATGTAACTAATCCATTACAGTTACTGAGAACAAATGTGTAATTAAATTACAGTTACTTATAAAAATGTTAACGATTACAAAAGGGGTTACATCTGAATATTTTATGCAAAAAAGCTAGGATATGTTGAATAATATTATTCTTATTGTTTTGCCTTATTGTTTTGATGTGCACAATGCCTCCCCCCCATTTAAAGGCTGTTTAGTTAAAGGGTTAGATCACCCAAAAATGAAAATTAGCCCATGTTTTACTCGCCCTCATAACAACGAATTGGTATTTGGGGTGAAAGTAATTTGTTTTTTACTATGTCAAATTTATCAACTATCCAATCAATTCAATTCAATTCAAGTTCATTTGTATAGCGCTTTTCACGATACCAATACCAGAAAAGTTTAAGTTTCTACATTATAGTTAGGAGTAAGTTATTAGCGGAGACTATGGCAGAAATGTACAGTAAGAATCATGCAGTTAGTTACAAATTACACGTAATCAAACGGACGGTGAACACTATTAACTGCAATGATTAAACGTTGCGATTAAGCTACATTTGGTAGTTTTATATGTTGTTCCAGGGTTAGCAATCAGTGGATTTTGTTTGTTTCTATTGGGGAAGCATGTTTATTTTTTTGAGATTAGGACATTAAATTAGAAGCTTCAGTTATCTCAGATTTAAAAAGAAAAAAAAGAAAAAAAAGTCAACTACAACACATGCAACAAAATCCCACCTTGCCACCTCCTGGGTATCCTTGCCATAATAACAATGGTAAATGAAGTACGGGATCTACTTTTAAGGTAACAGATTGTGTAAGTTTACCCTTTAAACAATATTTTCTTTCTTCAGTGTGCAAGTTGTAGCTTTTTTAACTGTTTGTTAGTATAACTGTTATTCAAGAAGTCATATTCTACACTTCTGTCATTTTTTGCCCGATTATACATAAGTATATAATCAAGGTTTCCTGCATCAAAAATGTTTTGCTTTTCATGACCCTCCACCCTCTCTCCGCACCTCAGAAATTAACAGGCTTTTTGATACTAAGATTTTCATATGGAAGCAACTTTATAAATGACCAATAATCATACATACGTATAAACATATTGTATAATAATTTGTCCTAACAGGCCGAGATGCTGAACACTGAATATGTGCTGATATTCAAACGACACATCTTTCTCTAAATGTTGCGTGTGGTCTGTGGAGGAGCTCTGAGTAGTGAACGTTCGTCAACCGCGCATTTCAAAAGAGGAAAATAAATTCTGTTTTCCAGAAGACAGAAGCAGGGGACTGATTTGTCTCCAACGGATGTGACCGTCAAGCTGTGCTCTGAACTTCTGCCACGCCACTGAAGCATCTATGGGGAGCCATTGTGCACGACTAAAACACACATGTTCAGGTGACAGTCCCGTGGCGAACAGTGTGACACAAACGGCTGGTATTTCCTCAGCGACGCATAGAGAAATTGCAAGGTCAAGACACGAGAGCCCACACACACATAAACACACAAATCCGGATCGGATGGAAAACCACTTGAGCGATAAATCAGGAAGAGACTGAAAAGAAAGAAGAGTGAAAGAAAAGCACACGCTCTACATGAGCGAGAGAAGCGAGCTTGATTCCTTCCTGGAAGAGTTTCGTCCTCCTGCTGCAGAAACTCTCTCACTTTAACACACCGACACATACACACCCCTGTGAAGCTCGCACATATCCGCTAACATGCACACTTAACCAGTTTTGGGGAGTAACGGCGTTATTTAATTACAAAATAAATGTAACTAATCCATTACAGTTACTGAGAACAAATGTGTAATTAAATTACAGTTACTTATAAAAATGTTAACGATTACAAAAGGGGTTACATCTGAATATTTTATGCAAAAAAGCTAGGATATGTTGAATAATATTATTCTTATTGTTTTGCCTTATTGTTTTGATGTGCACAATGCCTCCCCCCCATTTAAAGGCTGTTTAGTTAAAGGGTTAGATCACCCAAAAATGAAAATTAGCCCATGTTTTACTCGCCCTCAGGGCATCCTAGGTGTATATGACTTTCTTCTTTCAGATGAATCCAGTCGGAGTTATATTAAAAATGATCCATGCTCTTCCAAGCGTTAGAATGGGAGTAGGCAGATGTTTTTTTCAACAGTCCAAAAGACGTCAAATAAAGTGCGCGCATCCATAATAAAACGTGCCTCACACGGCTCCGGGGCATGAATAAAGGCCTCCTGTAACGAATGCATGCATTTTTGTCAGAAAAATATCCATATTTATAATGTTATAAATACTTTTTTCTCACTTCTGCTAACTGTCATACGTGGAAGCCGTTCTGGCGGATGACGTAGGACGTAGGCGTAGCGTAAGCGCCGGTGATTAGTGACGAACGCGGAAGCGCAGCAGAGAGACAGCAAAACAACACGCCGGTCACAAATTAGAAGTACAAATAATGTCGGAGGATTTCGATATAAGCCAAGAGGAGACTGGTTGTCCTTTGATAAAGTATCAGGAAACTTTGCTTCCTTTGCTCCTGTAAACAAACTTGTGAGACTAGGATATCTCAGAGGCGCGTGTGCGATGCATACGTCCTACGTCATCCGCCGGAACGACTTGCACGTATGACTGTTAGAGGAAGTGAGAGAAAAGTGTTTAAAGTGTTTCAAATATGATTTTTTTTTTTTTTTTACTACAGGAGGCCTTTATTCAGGCCCCGGAGCCGTGTGAGGCACATTTTATTACGGATGCGCGCGTTTTATTTGACGTCTTTTGGACTGTTGAAAAAAATAAACACCCGTCTACTAAACAACACGCCGGTCACAAATTAGAAGTACAAATAATGTCGGAGGATTTCGATATAAGCCAAGAGGAGACTGGTTGTCCTTTGATAAAGTATCAGGAAACTTTGCTTCCTTTGCTCCTGTAAACAAACTTGTGAGACTAGGATATCTCAGAGGCGCGTGTGCGATGCATACGTCCTACGTCATCCGCCGGAACGACTTGCACGTATGACTGTTAGAGGAAGTGAGAGAAAAGTGTTTAAAGTGTTTCAAATATGATTTTATTTTATTTTTTGCTACAGGAGGCCTTTATTCAGGCCCCGGAGCCGTGTGAGGCACATTTTATTACGGATGCGCGCGTTTTATTTGACGTCTTTTGGACTGTTGAAAAAAATAAACACCCGTCTACTCCCATTCTAACGCTTGGAAGAGCAAGGATATTGCCTATGTACCACCATATAATATACACGCTTGTTTCGATCATACGAAGGCAAATTCATAGATACTAAACAAGGTAAGATTACATATAGTGAAAAGGGAGGATCAGGAATGGGTCCCCTCACAAGCATACTAAAATAGTCTAAGAATATCAAAGACAAAATACACAATGACAATAATATACTCAATGGCCTGAAGAAATATGTGTGTTCATTCAAATAACGGTTTTTCTATGAATTAACTAGAACACAGTCCATTTCTACTCTGTTTTTCCTTGGGACAAAGAGTGGGCTATCCTTCTCACATTCCTGGGGGGTCATAAAACCAGTGATCTCATGATTAGTTGTCATGGTGACCATAGCGCCTGGTGTTCAGCAGACATCCTGGCATCCAGTTAATTGAGTGAGGGGACTGTGACGATTTGTTAACCTAATGAATAATTGATTTGTTAAATCAAATTAAAATTAGTGTGTCAGATTGGTCGAGACGCTACAACTCCCATTCTAACGCTTGGAAGAGCAAGGATAATTTTGATATACAGTAACTCCCATTGGATTTGTCTGAAAAATAAAGTCATATACACCTAGGATGCGTTGAGGGTGAGTAAAACATGGGCTAATTAAAGCAATAAGCCCCAAAAAGCCGTGGTTTACAGTGAATTTATAACAGCTAAGGGGCGTTGTTAGGCACAACGCGAAGTGGAGTGTCTAAAACCCGCTTAGCTGTTATAAAATCACTGTAAACCATGGCTTCACAGGGCTTATTGCTTTTATAAAACGGTTATTCCATATACGTAGTAAGGTTTCACAAAATAAAACAGAGCTAATAAAGTGTAATGATATTAATAAAAACATTATTCTTCCACCAAACAATGTAGTTCCTCAGAAACAGTTGTGGTTGCAACACACAGAAGTAAACAAAGGTGTGTGTTTGTAGAGTAATTTACAACAGCTTCGAACGCGGCTCAACCAATCAGAATCAAGGACCGGAACTATCTGTTTTATAATTTCATTTTTGGGTGAACTAACCCTTTAAGCGATGCTATTGTGATGCTTTTGATTGGTTTTCTTGTTTGAATTTGCAGCGCACGTAATTAGTGTTGAGTACTACTGTAAGGTTAACCCTGGATAGTTTAAATGTTTGAAAATGATTAACATTTGAAAACATTAGAAAAGTGAGAACGTTAGAAAAAAACGTTCGAAATTTAGAAAAGTGACCAGATGCAATCAGTTACACTGCTTTAAAAAAGAAACTGAAATCGTTACGTGACTTATTACATTTTGAATAGGGTAACTTATAATCCGTAACCTATTACATATCCAAAGTAACCTTCCCAACACTGCACTTACCCACACGGCCGGTAGGTGAAGACGATGTAGCTCTCTTCTGTTGTTCTCTCGATGAACGTCACACATGTGTGTTTTTCCCAGTGTCTCATGGCCTGTCTGAATATGGCTCTCTGGCTACCTGTACAACACACACGGGACTAGCAGTGAGCAGGGCAACCAAACTTTAAGGTACGGAGACTTTTCTGTGATTTCTTGTGGACAAAAACGAACGCAATCTGTTGTCAATAATGTAGCGATTATATAAATTAGAGCTCAGATAGTTGTCACTTTCAAACCAAGCAGTTTTCTATTGGTCAACGCAGCAAGTTTGCATGACGACTTAAGCCTGTTGCGAAATATCAGTCCCATGCAGAATTTCCAATTCATGTGGATTCATATGAAAGTGACGCAATTTTGCAAACAAAAAAATCGCCGTCCAGACCTTTAGTTCACAGTATAAGTAATTTTAACTCTTTCCCTGCTATTGATGGAATACTCCAGCTTTCTGTGTTTTCACTGTTATATGCTAGGAGGTGCTATTACACATCTTCTGAAAGAATATTGAATCCATGGATCAAAACATGGCGAAGAAGTAGAAACAAGCCATGGCATATGTAAGCAGATGCATATGTAAAATAACGTGATCAAACAAACAGCATATAAATCAAAATGGCCAAATGTTACCGAATGAAATATTGATCCAGGAAATGGTATAGAGCCGTGAAAGCTTTGAGGTGTTGATGGAAGTGATCTACTCCATATATGCTCTGATTATCATTCTGAATCTGATCCGGACATAGTCTTTGACAAAAACACAATTTCCTCAGCATTTTGTTCAAAATGTTGATTTTATTTTTTAAATCAAATATTCACACATTCAAATGTTGATAAAAAAGAATGCATGAAGCTTGAATAAAATTGTATTTGTTTGTTTTGTTTAAAGCAGAGGCTCAGTTCTTTCTTTTGACATATTGCATGCTCAGATATTTATACCAAGTATAATCCCATTAATTTTTTGTGAAAATTGTCAAAAATGCTGGCGGTAACTGGCAACTTTTTTCTAAAAAATGCTGGCGGGGAAAGAGTTAAATAACAATATTGTCATAATATTGTGGTTTTCTTCGCAAAGTCAACCAAAAAAATGTTTCACATACGAATCACCTGCATTCAAAGTCTAACTGAAACCTGGTAAGTATGAGTAATTTTATACAGCACTTTTATAACAATTAATATTGTGGTTTTCATTGCTAAATCAACCAAAAATGTTTCATATACAAATCACATAGACTGAAAATCTTTACTTAAACATGGAAAATAAACATTTTAGAATTCATTTAAAACAAACTATGAATAAAATGGCAAAACAAATGTAGGTCACTAATGAAATAAGTAATTTGATATAGTGCATCATTTGGGATGCAGCTATTGGCATCATGTGACTCATCATGTGACGGTCAGATGTTCTTGACTCCATTGAAGCACAAGATGTTCTTTGGATCATTATCAAATCATGCTGGAGAAAATAATCATCAGGTTTTGCAAATCAAACTTGCACATTTGATGTCTTCAAATAGTTTTGATTGAATAGAGAGTAGTGCAGTCAAATGATTAATCATGATTAATCGCATCCAAAATAAAAGTTTTTGTTTGCATAATATATGTATGCGTGCTATGTATATTTATTATGTATATATAAATACACACACATGCATGTATATATTTCAGAAAAATAGGTTATGTTTATATATTAAATATATTTATTTATAATATAAATTATATGAATATAAATAGACATGTAAATATTTTCAAAATATATACTGTGTGTGTATTTATATATATACTTTTATAATGTGTATTTTTTATATATATTTTATTTTGTATGCAATTAATCTTTTGACAGCACTAATTGACAGTAATTCAAATCTAAATAAATATTTAAACATTCACTAACGTTGTGTACAATATTTTGCTGCCTTATGCAAGACAACACATGACTTAAAAGGTTAGTTCACCCAAAAATGAAAATTAGGCTGTGTTTTACTCACCCCCGAAGCATCCTAGGTGTATATGACTTTCTTCTTTCAAACGAATCCAGTCGGAGTTATATTAAAAATTGTCCTGGCTATTCCAAGCTCTATCATTGCAGTCAGCGGGTGTTGCAGTTGAACAGTCCACAAGTCGTCAAATAAAGCGTGCGCATTCATAATAAAACGTGCCGCAGACGGCTCCGGGGGATGAATAAAGGCCCCCTGTAGCGAATCCATGTGTTTTTGTAAGAAAAATATCCATATTTCAAATATAATAAACACTTTTCTCTCACTTCCGGTATCTGTCATACACTGAAGCAGTTCTGGCGGATGACGCAGCTCGTATGCGCAGCGCGTGCCTCTGAGATATGCTAGTCTCGCGAGTTTGTTTAATAGGAGCAAAGGAAGCAAAGTTTCCTTACTTTAGCAAAGGAAAACCAGTCTCTTCTTGATTTATATCGAAATCCTCCAACATTATTCTTTGCAAATCCTCGGTTTGTACTTCTAATTCATGACCGGCATTTTGTTTTGTTCTCTCTCCGCATTCGTCATTAATCACGCAACGCTGACGTCTTACGTCATCCGCCGGAACTGCTTCAGTGTATGACAGATACCGGAAGTGAGAGAAAAGTGTTTATTACGTTTGAAATATGGATATTTTTCTCACAAAAACTCATGGATTCGCTACAGGAGGTCTTTATTCACCCCCCGGAGCCGTGTGAGACACGTTTTATTATGAATGCGCGAGCTTTATTTGTCAACTTGTGGACTGTTCAACTGCAACACCCGCTGACTGCACTGATAGAGCTTGGAATAGCCAGGACAATTTTTAATATAACTCCGACTGGATTCATCTGAAAGAAGAAAGTCATATACACCTAGGATGCCTCGGGGGTGAGTGAAACACAAGCTAATTTTCATTTTTGGGTGAACTAACCCTTTAAGAAAAACACCTTTTCATCTCGAATTACTTGAAATGTAAAGCAGTTCTTTTACAACTGAGTTCCACCGACAACAACTTTTGAGCTTCAAAAGAAAAAAGTCAAAGTAATGGAGTGACATGAGGGTGTGTAGACGATGGCAGAATCTTCAGTCTAAAGCAAATTATGTGCATGAGATGCGGCTCGAATAGACTGACCAATTTTAGACACATAAATGTGTGATTTCTTCCACAAACCTCTTTTACCAACAGCTGGAAAGTAACTGATTAGATGTAATCTGGATTACGTAATCAGATTCCAAAAATCATGCACTCGTAATTAGAGTATATTACATTTTATAATGTTCATAATCAGATTACAGTTACTTTTTTATTGATTACATGATTACATATTCACACAAATGTGAGTAAATCAATCATAATGTATTGCTTCTCCATAATTATTATTTTTTCTCTTATAAATTCCTTTCTAAAAATTCTACTGTGTATGTCATTCCATTTAGCTTTGACTATATTCACAATACAGAATGATCATGTAAACGCTTCTGAATTTGGGTAAAAAAGCACCTCTCAAGCAGTTAGACCACGTATGAAACAAATAATTATGCAAGTAACTAAACACTGGTAATGTAGCTTTGAACTCTATAGGCCAGTATTACTAACAGCTTGCGCCAGCACAAACCGTCTTTTGGCATTAAAATTGTACTGTCAGGATTTACTAAAGACGCACAGTGACGAATTAGCCCTGAAGAGGCATGGACACAGTTATTTTTACGCCTGACCTTATTGAATATGCATTTGTAGGAGTTTCCCTTTCAGACACAAAAGTTATGGGAGGAGCGTATTCAAATGAATCATGCAACGCGCTTTTCTAACGTTTGCATTTGTCAAATTACTGGCATTTGCGCCATTTTTAACAGGCAAAAAAAGCATGTCAAACTATTTTGTGCTTGAAAATGCTGCAATTATTGTTGCTGGAGGAGGCAGCGCAGAGAACAGAGAGTGCGTGGTAGAATTCCACACGTATTAATTTATTTGGAATGCCAGAAGAACGTCCCTGTTACGTATGGTAACCCTCGTTCCCTGAAGGATGGAACGGAAACGTCACGTTGGATGACCGACGAATTGGGATCTCGCTTAGAGAGACCAATCTACTTCGAGTGTAAACTAAACGAGCCAATGCACATTGGCATGCGATTATTGCGTCCAGCTGCCGCTGATCACAGCGTGAGTATAAGCAGGCAGCAGATGCAGTGCATATTCAGCTTTTCGCTGAGGAGCCGAGCCAGTGACCCGGCCGCTCAGCGATGGTACAGGAGCTGTGGCGACGGGACGTGACATCTCCGTTCCCTCCTTAAGGGACGTCACGTCGGATGACTGACAAATTGGGATCCCTAACAAAGGGCCACAGGTACTGCCCCTTCCAGTGTCCCGTGGAAGCCACCTGCGCCCCTACTTTTTGGCGTAGGCCAGGGCTTACCACAAGAGGACCAGCTACTGCTGCTACGGCACTACCCAATCAGTAAGACTGGATAACACTGGGAAAACATACCCGTTCCACTTGGGACAGGGACGTTACGGAAGCTCCAACCTTCCCGAAGGAGGTTTCAGAACCAATACACACATGAACATCCCTTAGGTGCATATGGAAGATTGGAGGTGATTGTAACCCTGTTGGAGTGGCAGACGTCTGCCTGGGAAACACGGGCTCTGAGGTCATACCATGGACTTTACACATATGGGATCCACTTAGGTGTCTACATTTGGCACCCAGCCCTCTACCGGTTCATCGAGAGAGGGCCTGGCGCCGGATGCTCCGCCATGTCTGGCTGCCGAGGGGACGGAGGAGCTCAACAGGGTCTACTATATGGACTCTCTGGAGTTTTTGCAAGCCGACTCGAAGCTGGGGCCACTCAGTGCTTCTACCCGTTTGAGGTGAGAACACAGGAGGATACCGGCTCCACACGAAAGGCTATAGAATCTAGCGAACGTGTTAGGGGTTGCCCAGCCCGCAGCTCTACAGATATCTGCCAGCGAGGCGCCACGAGCCAGCGCCCAGGAGGATGCAACACTTCTAGTTGAGTGAGCTCGCAACCTGAACGGGCAGGGCACACCCTGTGCCTGATAAGCCAGGGTGATGGCATCCACTATCCAGTGGGCCATCCTCTGCTT